TGGCTGGGTTGTATTTTTTTTAAGTAGCGAGTTTGGAAATAAACAAGAGAAAAAAAAAAATAATGAAAAAAAAAAAAAAAAAAAAAAAAAAAAAAAAAAAAAAAAAAAAAAAAAAAAAAATGATAATAATAAAATAAAATTAAAATTATTTACCATCAGTTATTTTCAAGTTATACTGTGTGGTTACATAATCTGGTTTGTCAAAAAGTATGTTAGGAATTGGATCGATTTTTTAATAGAATTATTTGATTTATTTACTTGATGTTGTTATATTCCATGATTGAAATGAAGAAACTTGACTCGATAAAATTTTTTGAGAATTTATATCGCCTTCCTCATTATCATTTACCAAAATATTAGGTGTTAGTGTTATTAGCAGTCTATGTGATGACAATTGTTCGTTATCTATCTCTTCATACGATTTTCTAAGTAGTGCACCCATGCGGTCAGCAATTTCGGAGGCCGTCGGTCTATTGCTAGGCTCACCATCCCAACATTGTTTCATCAGCATTGCATATTCATGCGGGGTATCGACATGTATTTTTGGTCTTTTACCATTTATTATGCATAATTGAGTGTCCATCACGTTATGATTTATCCTGTCGCTAAGAGGCACCCTTCCAGTTGATACCTCCCACATGATAATACCCAAACTGTAAATATCAGATTGTGTGGTATAAGGAGATCCACTTAGAACTTCCGGAGCAATGTACGGAAGGCTTCCGTAAATGTAACCAATAGGTTTTTCCACTGGTCCACTAAATCCAAAATCTCCAATTTTCCATACATTATTCTTTGAATTATATAATATATTTCCCGAATGTAGATCCTTATGGACCTTTTCTTTCTTGTGAATCTCTTTGAGACTGTTTGCGATGTAAAAGATGATATCGTATTTTTGCATCCATGTTATTGGAGAATAATAATTGATCAACAAATTTCTTAGGTCACTATCAAAGCGATACAAAACGAGCATGTAATCATTGGTTTCAGGGTCTTTCGTCAAACCAAAACATTGAACCAGGTAGAAAAACGTATGATCTAGCATAAAACTGTTTACCACCTGAGAAGTCACACGTGAAATTTTTGCAAGTTAGCACCGCGTTTATCTTGAATTTAAACATTTGATGCATTCTTATTTGTTTAACATACCTCTTGAAACCATTTCTCATCATTTTTTGAATTATTTAGTTTTTTCAAAATGACTTTTTGTCTACCAGATCTCACCAACGATCGACTCTCGGGATCCCATCTATCGTAGTGACCCTCTATCCAATCTGCCTCGTATATTATGGAACATCCACCTCTTGTTTTATATTTTATTCCTTCTAATTGCGAATAATTTATCCATTCGATAATACGTCGTGGTGACACGGTTTTTTGCTGACACTTTTTAATTAATTCATCCACCTTTTCATTTCCCGAGGTCCACGTTTTAAACATACGCACTAAATAATTACGCACGCAAATTTCACAGTATAAGGTTGCTCGACACAAATTTGAACAAGCATCACAAGATCTTTGCTCATTTGATTCATGATTTATTCTCAAAAGGTCGTATTTCTTTTGATTTTTATAAATTAAAAATTTCTTTTCTGGTTCGGTTAGTGTCGGATCATTGGCGAATATGTCGCGAAGATACCTTTCCCGTTGATTAAATGACTGGTGTACACTTTGATCCATGCAAAAGAATGCCCTATCCCAAATTAACTTTAATTTATTGCTCCAAGAAACACCTTGAGCCATATATACAGTATTTAATAGACGAATTGAAAGATAGAATAAATTATTATCTTGAGATTGAATAAATGCGACGCTCGATTATCCGACAATTTTTATCGAAAATTACTAAATTATCCGACAAAAAAAAAAAGTGACAGAGTACGAAAGCTGACCTTTTTATAGTTTTGGTTGCATTTTATTTATTAGTATAATAATAGTGAATTTCTGAATCTTCAGAGAATTCCGCGTGAAGTTTCCATGGCTCAACAATAGGACTTTTTCTTTCTTTTTAGAATTCGGAGATAAAGAAATATCATGGTTCCACACAGATAAGAAATCATTGACTTTAGAAAGAGTATTTATGCTTGTCAGACATATGATCAAAACAAAACTATCATGCTAATAGTCCAATGTTTTTTGTGAACCAAACACTTCAAAATTCAAGTTCTAAAACTGGCTTACCTCACACACTTGGCTGGAAAGGCATTCCGAAAGGAAAGTTCAATTTCATAGAATGTTTTTACAATACTGTAACTATTTATACTATACGCAGTATATTGAGAAACACTTACTTAATTGACCGTGTCACGACAGAGCGGAAACGGATTTTTTTCTCGCACAGATGATACTTTTTATCATATCCCACAAACAATAAAATCAACATGTTCTATTATTGCAAGTATATAGAACTTTCTAAATTTTACTGAGAAATTGTCATGAATGTACGCCTCAATTCTTAAAAAGTGAACTCAATAAATTAATAATAAAGACTTTCAAATAAATTTAATGAACATTTCTTTGACAAAAATGAGCACATCAGATTTCACACGGAAAAACGAATTGAAACTAAATAATTGATTGCCTAGAACCTGAAAATTTTATTTACAGTATCTTGTAAGTTTATTGAATCAACCATTATGTTTGTATTTCATGAGATAACATTGTGCATACGCACTTTCCGCAATTTTCTCTTTATCATGATTGTTCACGAGATGCAATAAGCTTTTAGCCAATCCCACAAATACGGAAAGAAAACAAAGTTTTTGTAGTTTGCAAATGATCTTTGATATGTAGGCGCACTACATACGAATCATGTACTGTATATGTATATAAGTTGTCATATTAGCACTTATAATTACAATAAAATTTCCATTTAAAATATAATATTATTTTTTTACACATTAAGGCTGATTGGATGTACGTAGATATAATGTAATTCCCCGTTCGAATACTCCTAAAAACATGGTTTGTCACGGTTCTTTTTCTATCAGTTCTCTTAAAATAAGACGTGGGGAGGGTATTAGAACCTAACTAACATATCATTTATGTTTTAAATTATTTTAACCTCGCTTATTGTGCAGTCAGTTTTAATGTAAGAAAATCCAAAATCATTGATCTCGCAAAGATATTTTGCACACTTATTACGTCATTAGTATACAAATAAATATTTTGTCACATTGCCCGTGCATGAAATGGACTGCTACGACGAAAAAAAAGAATAGTTTAATTAATGCACGTTCGACAAATGGAGAGAACGTTAGCATTTTCTATCACTATGAAACTTTATGCACATATGCACATACTACGACAAAATTATAAAACGCTTTAATGGATGTTATACTGCGTATACGCAGTCAACGCCTCCATGCATAAAAATGAGAAAAAATACAAATACCGAAATCAGATTTATTGAATTTATTAAATGTCTATCACTTAATAGGCATTATTACTGCTGCGGGCTTAACGGCGAGTCATTAAATATTTCGTCTCAGGGAAAAGACAAGTTTTTCAGTTCAATAACCACGCCAAATTCGGGATATTTTGTGCAACAATAATCTAAGATTGCTATATATTTACTAAACGTTTTACGTATACCTTACTATCATTATTATTTCACATCCACGCCACATGAATAGCTACTTTTTCCCAGCTACCATGTTTCATTTTTGGTATAACAAACTCAAGACCATATACTGTATCTCACCAATATTTTCAATCTCGACAGAATTTTAACAAAGGCTATGTCTCCGAAAAATCCCGCAATATTTACAGTATTTGATATGCCCAAATACTTTAACCATCTTTTTCAACATTTACATTAAAGACAACATCTATAAACTGCATATGTTCACTCAACGTCGCCTATGTCGGCCGATATTTTAAAATACTCAAATGGTTCATTTTCAGCTTTTTTCAAAACCTGCCCCTTCTCTGTAACAACCAATACGAGAATTCCTGGCGTCCATTTTTTTTTTCAATTCCATTTCCTTTTTCGTGGTGTCGACCTAAATTAAATGCAGAATTCACGTTACTCATATGACTCGGATTCCATTAAAATAACAGCATCAACCTAAGACATCCCCTAGATCTTCCTTTGGGATATCTACAGTATCCGTCATAAAAAATGCACCACTTAAGTTATTTGATTTAAATTAATCATGTTTTACTAGACAAAAGATAAAAATTTAAACTAATTTATATTTAAATATTTAATAAGCTACTTTATTTATTTATATAAGTTTTTTTA